TTGAGAAGTTCAGAATGCAAGCATGCACTACCATATTTAACAAATGCCCTTAGAATTATGACTCATGAGCCTTTCGCCTATGAAGTTATGACAATTCATTTCTCTAATGAAGTTTACTGTTCTTAAAAAAAAAAAAAAAGACTGAAAATAACAAATGACATTGTCTTATTTGATCTCTTGGACATCCTCGAATGAAACTGCAGCTTACTCATGTCAAAATGCAGAACCAAGGTTTTGAACAATATATACACTTTGTGAATGAGCCCTTGATGATGAAATGGCCTTTCAAGTTTTACTTTTGCATTTTCTGCTCTTTTTCTTGACTTGTCTTACAAAAGCTTAAATTCAACAGTTTTATTTCTACAGAAAGCAGGAATATAATTTTTAAATATGTTTCTATCCTGTCTCATGGCATTGTGAACTCTTCAGATCTAGTGTGGACCTAGACTTACTTTTACATGGGAACAATTAGGTTTGTTTCTTTGTAGTGGTTGTTGTTGTTGGAGAGACAGTCTTGTTCTGTGATGTGGTTCAGAGTGGATAAGCTCTTAAAAGCAGTAATCTCTCTAGTGATTTTTCTGTAGGAGGTAAAATGGCAGGTGAATTTGGGCCTTGTTATTACAAACAAGATTGTATTGTTTCTCAGGCTGGCAGAACACATATTGTGCTTCTCAGTAGGGCAGAGCACATAGCTACAACTAAGTAAAACACCCAGTACCTTCCCCAAGGGTATTGGTCAGAGTAACACATTAATATCTCTTGAGCTCTTCTCCACTGGCAGCTGGAAAGTTTTTGCAAGAATCCCTGTTTCTGGTCCGATTCCTATGTTTTGCTGACTTTTGGTGATAGGGTGTTTTATCCTAAGCTGAACAGTTTTAACTGAAGAGCTAGAGAGAATGTATTGTGTTACAGCAAAGTGAGTGCAGTAGTTCCTCCTTAACTGTGGGAGATACATTCAAAGGCCCCCAGTGAATGCCTGAAAGCACAAATAGTACTGAATGACTGTTTTTTTCCCTATACTTACATATCTATGATAAAGTTTAATTTATAAATTAGGTAGTTAGAAATTAACAACTAAAAATAAAATGGAAAATTATAGTAATATGCTGTAATAAAAGTTATTTGAATGTGGTCTCTTAAAATACATGGTATGGTTCTCACCCTTTTTCTGTGATGATGTGAAGTGATACAATGCCTGTGTAATGAGATGAAGTGAGGTGAATGATGTAGGCATTGTCATGTAGAGTTAGGCCACTATTCACCCCCTGACTCTAAGTCAGAAAAAAAGATACCAGCTTTCAGTGTTCCTGGACCTTCAGGCCTTAATGATATTGATGACTGGATGCAGGAGGAGACCATGTTGGTGACTAATGGCTGGACAGCACATTGCAGTGTGAATGCACTGGACAAATGAATGATTCACATCCTGAGATGGATAGAGGGCAAGAGCTCTAGATTTTATTGTGCTTCTCAGACTGGCACACTAACACTTATGACTAGTTTATTTCTAGAGTTTTTAATGTAATATGTTTAGAATACAGTTAACTGTTAGTAGCTGTAACCACATAATTCAGAACTGCAGATGTAAAATCTGTGTTTGGACTTTGACTCATTTCTTGGTGTGCAATTCTTAAACCCCTTAGAATTTCCAAAGTGATGACTTTTGGTATGCTAATAATCGATGGCTGGAAGCTCCTAGGTAGATTCAGGATAGGAACTGGTCACCATCCTGAAGACATGACTGATTAGAGGGTTGAGATCTTCTGTCTCACTCTGCAAACTCTGGAGAGGAGAGAAGGGCTTAAGGTTGTCAGTCACCAACAGCCAGTGATTAATTAGTGATGCCTGTGTATTGAAGCTTTCATAAAGACCCTAAGGAACTGGGCTTGGAGAGCTTCCAGATCACTGAATACATGGGGGTTCCTGGAGGGTGCTATGTCCTGAGAGAGCATGGAAATCTGTGTCACTAGCCCCATACTTTGCACTACGCATCTGTTCATCTGTACCTTTTGTAATGTCATTCATAGTATACTGGTAAGTGTGTTTCCCTGAGTACTTTGAGCCATTCCAGCAATTCAATTTAACCCAAAGAGGGAGTCCTGGGAACGAGAATTTGAAGCTGATCGGTCAGAAGTTCTGGAGTTTCAGACTTAGGACGGACGTAGGGAGGCAGTCTCATGGGACTGAGCCCTTTCCCTGTGGAATCTGATGCTATCTGCAGACAGTGTGAGAACTGAATTAGATGACACCCAGTTTGTGTCGTCTGCAGAAGTGATTGCTTGCTTGCTGGTGGGGAAAACCTCTCCACTTTTGGTCACAGAACCTTCTTTGTTGATGATTGTTGCTGTGGTTTGAGAGCAGAGAAAAACATGGCAAATGTGTCTTTTCCACACATATAGTGGATAAGGGGTGCTACTGTTTACTATGTTTTAACTGCCCTCCTCACATTTTGGTCCAGAAATCATGCTGTTTGACACTGGTCACTCATTCCATCTGTTCTGCTAACAAATCATTTTCAGCCAATTTCATTGGGTTTGGCTAGGATAACTTGTATACTGCAGTTCACTTGTAGATATCAAATTCTGATAAATTTATTCTTCTTTGCATTTAACAAATACAAAGTAAGGGAAGTAAGAGTTCTTACTGCATTAATTACATCCCAATAGGTATAATTTATATAAATTCCAATAAGGTCCCAGGTATGCTCCCAAAGGAATACTTTGTAACAAAGCATCAATCCTATACTTTAAAGAAAAATAATCTAAATCATGTATACAACTGTGCATACTTTTTTTTTTTTGAGACGGAGTTTTGCTCTTGTTACCCAGGCTGGAGTGCAATGGCGCGATCTTGGCTCACAGCAACCTCTGCCTCCTGGGTTCAGGTAATTCTCCTGCCTCAGCCTCCTGAGTAGCTGAGATTACAGGCACACGCCACCATGCCCAGCTAATGTTTTGTATTTTTAGTAGAGACGGGGTTTTACCATGCTGACCAGGATGGTCTTGATCTCTTGACCTCGTGATCCACCCGCCTCAGTCTCCCAAAGTGCTGGGATTACAGGCGTGAGCCACCGAGCCCGGCCTACTTTTTTTTTTTTAAATGAAGGTAGAGTCTTGCTGTTTCCTGAACTGGTCTCAAACTTCTGGGTTTCTCAAGTGATCCTCCTTCCTCAGCCTCCCAAATAGTTGAAATTACAGGCATGCATCATTGTGCTTTCTCATGGTTTTAATATTCTATATATTATTGATTTAAAATGTATTTTATCTTTTCCTTTAATAGATTCTGGGACTTCTGATGAATCTGCAGTCAGGTAGGATTTTACAGATTTAAAAAAATTATGTTAACTAAGAAAATACAGATGGAAGAAACTATTGTTGCATTCTAGGCTAAATACCCTATTATGTGCTATGCATCTATCTCATAAAGCCATCACAATGTCTGTTTTCTTATAACTTACTGTTTATTAAATAGGCAACTGTGGTTTAGAGAGGTTTATTAATTGGATCATGATCCCACAGTTCACAAAATAGCTGACCCACAGTTTGACCATCAGCCTATCTGGCTTTCAAATCTGTTCTCTTGCGCCTCAGTACAGATTGATAGAGATATCTGTGCAGCACTTTGATCAAGGTATAGGTCTGAATAAGATGTCATTAATTATTTTAATGTCTAAATTAATGAGTTTAAATAAGTTAAACTCCCATTTTAGGTTACTGTTAGAAATGAAGTTAGTCCTTGAGTTTGTCCTAATAAATTTGACAATTTGTGTGGTAACCAGTATTTTTTTTTTTTTTTTTTTAATTAACCATCAAAGCCTTTAAGGCACAGTAAAGGTTTGCCCATAGGACTGGAAGTTATACAAAACCAAGATTTGGCAAGTCTTGGAGAGAAATTATTTAACTTCCCAGTTTTGTTTTCCCTATAGGCTAGTATTTCTGCCTACTTCCATAACGCTTTTTTATTTTTTGTTTTTCTTTTTCCATAACTTTTCTTCCTTGGTGTTTCTTTGGTTTTCAAATTCTGCTGGCTATGTATTCCCAATTTTCCTATAGACAGAACCAAAAGCATACAGAATTACAGAAACTTAATGAATCTTAGGACAAATTACAATATCTCTAGTACTTCAATCTGTGTTGAATGTTCTGGTCAAATGATTTTCTACATAGAGAACTTGAAACTCAGATTAGGATGCTTTTTTTCGGACATAAGATGTGGTAGAAATGAGATTTGAACTCATTTTAAAGCCCAATATTCTTCCTTCTTGTTTTATTCTATGGGCATTTTGTAGTTGTTGTTTTGAGACAGTTTCGCTCCTGTTGCCAGACTCGAGTACAATAGCACAATCTCGGCTCACTGCAACCTTTGCCTCCTGGGATCAAGCGATTCTCCTGCCTCAACCTCCTATCTGGGCATGTACCATCATGCCCAGGTAATTTTGTATTTTTAGTAGAGATGGAGTTTCTCCATACTGGTCAGGCTGATCTCGAATTCCTGACCTCAAGTGATCTGCCTGCCTCGGCCTCCCAAAGTGCTGGGATTACAAGGTCACCATGCCTGGCCTGGCATGTGTTTTAATAATACAAAGGGGGAGTGAGTCTGGTGCACCCAGTGGATAGAATGAGAATGGAATTAGCTAGTGAACCCAATGGAACTGGCTAAGAATGGAATGAGCAGGGGAAGGCCAAGTTTGAAGAAAAATGACACTGGATACAGATTATTCAGTAAGAGATTAGAATGTTGGAGTTTATGACAAATCTGATAAATTATAAAGATGAAGGACACAAGCTACAAAGGTGCATTAAAATAGAGGGTTCAAGGAAGCTCTAAACAGACTGCTGTGCTCTTTTTAAATCAAGAACTGACAAACTTGAAGATTTTTGCTGTAAGACGCTTAAGACATTTGGAGACACTGAGAGCAGTCTCTATCGCAGACAGAAATGTGGTATCATCTAATTCCATCCTGACTTACAGAGGGGTGGCTTAGAGCCCCTTGAGTACTGATGGGCTGGAGACTACTGAACTACATAGATCTGGGGCCCAGGGCAGGTATCTCCTCATCTCTGCCTCTTTTCCCAATTCACTGATGTCCTTCTCATATCCATGCAGGCTGGGTCAGGGGCATCACTGGCTGTCAAATCAGTCACAAAATTCAGCTGCGTAGTTGGAGGTGTGTCTGTGGTGGTAGACTGAAGATCTGAAGACTGGAAACTGCCATGGAGCCCTGCATAAGTGGAATCTGGAAGTGAGAACCCATAGGAATGAAGACATTTAGATGGCAGTTGGAGGTACAACTGCCAGAACTGTTTTTTCCAGCAGTCCCTCTCGTTGGATACCTGAGAGCCTACGAAGATTTTTAAGGGCTTACTACTTTATGTGGACCTGAATAAGGTAGGACCTATAGAGTGAAAATAATTGGATTTTTATAATTGTTAATGTTTTAATCTTTCTGGGAAGAGTATCCTCAATAAGAAAATACACCTTTGTTATTAGACTTTTGTACATTTAGCTCTCACACATTTCAAATACAGCAGGGGATTCTCTGTACTCTTTTAGGACAAAGGAAAGCATCGGGACCTTCTTAAGTGGTTTTCATGCTGAGAAATCAAGACTGCCATTTTGAAGTGACACAGATTAGTCTTTTAACCAGGGATAGATAATGGACAAGAGACAATGGATCTTTCTACCTTGTTTTAGGTCATAATGTTCCTTCCAGTTTAGGTGACAAAAGTTATGTCATCCATTAATTGAATTTCATGTTCTGCTTCAGGACAGATAATTTATGAGGGTAAATTATTGTCAAGCTCTGCCAATATATGGCTGTTACTATTTGTTATGGAGCTCAAGGTCAGTTTTCATTTAATATTTTATAGATTTAGACAGCTGGAGGCAGAAATAGGTAATCAAAATCTATTTTAGAACAGAGGCCATATTTTAATTGTATCAAGAAACGTTATTTAATATACAGATGGCTGACCTTTTCCCAGACTGTGTTTTTGTTTATTGGAGGGGGAAGCTGACTATGAACTGGCAGTTAAAAAATTTGTAAAAAAAAAATCAACTTGCTGATTTTTATTACATGTTTTTGCTCTAAAGCATTTTCCAAGAAACTGTGTGGATTCATGCCTAAACCAGATGATGAAGACTTGACTGTTACTACCAAGGTAAAGCAGTCTTTTGTAAAATTTTTTCTCAGTCAACTTTTGCATAGTATTTACTTTTTTAAAATTTAGCAGTGGTTTACCTATTATTGCTTTATGATAGTTATGGAAAGTTGGTCAGATAAAACCACAGACATATGGATAGTTGATTAAAATTTTTTATTTAATGTTGGTAACAAAAGATTGATAAGTACTGTGACAGGGTGGGGGCTGAACAAGAATGAAATGGAGATACATACCAACAGAAAAATCACCTTAGGGCCGGGCGCGGTGGCTCAAACCTGTAATCCCAGCACTTTGGGAGGCCGAGGCGGGTGGATCACGAGGTCAAGAGATCGAGACCATCCTGGTCAACATGGTGAAACCCCGTTTCTACTAAAAATCCAAAAAATGAGCTGGCCCATGCCTGTAATCCCAGCTACTCAGGAGGCTGAGGCAGGAGAATTGCCTGAACCCAGGAGGCAGAGGTTGCAGTGAGCCGAGATCGCGCCATTGCACCCCAGCCTGGGTAACAAGAGCGAAACTCTGCCTCAAAAAAAAAAAAAAAAAAAAAAAAAAAAAAAAAAAAAAAAAAAAAATCACCTTAGGAAATGCTTTCCCCTATGGAGAAAATACGAAATTTTGTTAAGGTTTAATTAGATAAATATTAATACTTTGACTTTTAAATCATACTAGTGTGACATCTATGTTTTTGACAGTATAAATCTTCAGTGGATCAAATTACTTGTGGTAGTTATGGAATCTCCCTGGAACCTTTTAGTTGAAAAAGTGTATAACAAATAGCATATAGCTGTTTTTCTTGGACATTTATTATTTGGGTATTATATACTGCATAAGAGAGATTGTTCCTCTACTTATATATTGGTTCTGTAATGAGACTAAAATATTAAAACTTGTATGAAAAATTGCTGGGTGTGGTGATACACACCTACAGTCCCAGCTACTTGGGAGTTTGAGGTTGCCTGAACCCAGGAGTTTGAGAACCACCTGGGCAGCATAACAAGACTGCATCTATTTATTTTTTAAAATTATACCAAGTTCTGGGGTACATATGCAGAAGGTGAAGGTTTGTTACATGGGTATATGCGTCCTACGGTGGTTTGCTGCATCCATTCCCCATCATCTACATTAGGCATTTCTCCTAATGTTAACCCTCCCCAATCCCTCCACCCCCTGCTATCCCTGCCTTATCCCCCTCTCCTCCCAACAGGCCCTAGTGTGTGATGTTTCCCTCCCTGTGTCTCTATTGTTCAACACCCACTTATGAGTGAGAACATGCAGTGTTTGGTTTTCTGTTCTTGTTTTCTGAGAATGATGGTTTCCATTTTCATCCATGTCTCTGCAAAGGACATGAACTCATCCTTTTTTATGGCTGCATAGTATTCCATGGTGCATATATGCCACATTTTCTTTATCCAGTCCATCACTGATGGGCATTTGGGTTGGTTCCAAGTCTTTGCTATTGTAAATACTGCTGTAATAAACATATATGTGCATGTGTCTTTATAATAGAATGATTTATAAACCTTTGGGTAGATACCCAGTAATGGGATTGCTGGGTCAAATGGCATTTCTAGTTCTCTATCTTTGAGGAATTGCCACACTGTCTTCCACAGTGGCTGAACTAATTTACACTCCTGCCAACAGTGTAAATGCTTTCCTATTTCTCCACATCCTCTCCAGCATCTGTTGTCTCCAGATTTTTTAATGATCGTCATTCTAACTGGCATGAGATGGTATCTTAATGTGATTTTGATGTGCATTTCTCTAATGACCAGTGATAATGAGCTTTTTTTCATGTTTGTTGGCTGCATAAATGTCTTCTTTTGAGAAGCATCTATTCATTTCCTTTGCCCACTTTTTGATGGAGTTGCTTTTTCATGTAAATTTGTTTAATTTCTTTCTAGATTCTGGATATTAGCCCTTTGTCAGATGGGTAGATTGCAAAAAGTTTTTCCCATTCTGTTGGTTGCTGGTTCACTCTAATGATTGTTTCTTTTGCTGTGCAGAAGCTCTTAAGTTTAATTAGATCCCACTTGTCTATTTTGGCTTTTGTTGCCATTGCTTTTGGTGTTTTAGTCATGAAGTCCTTGCCTATGCCTATGTCTTGAATGGTATTGCTAGGCTTTCTTCTAGGGTTTTTATAGTGTTAGGTGTTATGTTTAAATCTTTAATCCATCTGGAGTTAATGTGTACATAAGGTGTAAGGAAGGGATGCAGTTTCAGCTTTCTGCAGATGGCTAGCCAGTTTTTCCAACACCATTTATTAAATAGAGAATCCTTTCCCCATTGCTTTTGTCAGGTTTGTCAAAGATCAGATTGTTGTAGATGTGTGGCGTTATTTCTGAGGCCTCTCTTCTATTCCACTGGTCTGTATCTCTGTTTTGGTATAAGTACTATGCTGTTTTGATTACTATAGCCTTGTAGTATAGTTTGAAGTCAGGTAGCATGATGCCTCTAGCTTTGTTTTTGTTGTTGTTTGTTTGTTCTGCTTAGGATTCTCTTGGCTATGCGGGCTCTCTTTTGGTTCCATATGAAGTTTAAGGTAGTTTTTTTTCCAATTTTGTAAAGAAACTCAGTGTAGTTTGATGGGGTAGCATTAAATGTATAAATTATTTTGGGCAGTATAGCCATTTTGACAATATTGATTCTTCCTAACCATAAGCATGGAATGTTTTTCCATCTGTTGGTGTCCTCTTATTTCCCTGAGCAATGGTTTGTAGTTCTCCTTCCAGAGGTCCTTTGATCCCTTGTTAGATGTATTCCTAGATATTTTACTCTCTTTATAGCAATTGTGAATAGGAGTTCACTCATGATTTGGCTGTCTTTTATTGGTATATAGGAATGCTTATGACTTTTGCACATTGATTGTGCAACTGCTTAAGTTGCTTATCAACTTAAGGAGATTTTGGGCTGAGACGATGGGGTCTTCTGAATATACAATCATGTCATCTGCAAATAGAGACAATTTGACTTCCTATTTTCCTAGTTGAATACCCTTTCTTTTTCTTGACTGATTGCCCTGACCAGAACTTCCAACACTATTTTGAGTAGGAGTGGTGAGAGAGGGCATCCTTGTGCTGGTTTTCAAAGGGAACACTTTCAGTTTTTGCCCATACAGTATGTTATTGTCTGCAAGTTTGTCATAAATAGCTTTTATTTTGAGATCCGTTCCATCGATACCTAGCTTACTCAGTTTTTAGCATAAAGGACTGTTGAATTTTGTCGAAGGCATTCTCTGCATCTATTGAGAAAATCATGTGGTTTTTGTCTCAGTTCTGTTTATGTGATGGATTATGTTTATAGATTTGTGTATGTTGAAACCGCCTTGCATTTCAGGGGTGAAGCTGACTTGATCATGATGGATAAGCTTCTTGATGTGCTGTTGGATTCTGTTTGCCAGTATTTTATTGAGGATTTTCCCATCAATGTTCATCATGGATATCGGCCAAAATTTTCTTTTTTAGTTGTGTCTCTGCCAGGTTTTGGTATCAAGATATCGGTCTCATAAAATGAGTTAGGTTCTCAGCCCAAAATCTCCTGAAACTGATAAGCAACTTCAGCAAAGTCTCAGGATACAAAATCAATGTGCAAGGCTGGTTCAACATACGCAAGTCTATAAACGTAATTCACCACATAAACAGAACCAAAGACAAAAACCACATGATTATCTCAACTGATGCAGAGAAGGCCTTTGACAAAATTCAACAGCGCTTTATGCTAAAAACCCCTCAATAAACTAGGTATTGATGGAACATATCTCAAAATAATAAAGCTTTTTATGACAAACCAACAGCCAATATCATACTGAATGGGCAAAAACTGGAATCATTTCCTTTGAAATCTGGCACTAGACAAGGATCCCCTCTCTCACCACTCCTATTCAATATAGTACTGGAAGTTCTAGCCAGATCAATCAGGCAAAAAAAAGAAATAAAGGGTATTCAATTAGGAAAGGAGGAAGTCAAATTGTCTCTATTTGCAGATGACATAATTGTATATTTACAAGACCCCATAGTCTCAGCCCAAAATCTCCTCAAACTGATAAGCAACTTTAGCAAAGTCTCAGGATACAAAA